TTTAAGAACAGGTTACAGCAGCAGCATAATTTGCAGGGAGATCCCGTGAGCTAGTATTCTTCTAGACTCCGTCCACAGTACTGGCTTTAAAGAGCTATGGCTAGGCTGGACTGAGCTGGCAGGGAGGCTGCTGTCTGTGGCGGATGGTCACAATGCAAACAGTGAGGCAAGGGCATAAGCTGGTGCTGAATCCGGGTCTAGACAGCGGAACACAAAGGCTGACGAGTGTCCAAAAAATTTCAAAGGGTATTCATCCAGCACTTGCAGAGGTTCAGACAATCCAAAAAGCTGAGGGGACTGTTCCTGCTTTTTAATATTCATTTGCAGGTGTGCAGGTTGCCTCATGAGATTAATAATAATAATAATAATTATTATTATTATTATTCTCGGCCCCGGTAAGCTCATGGTTAGGGATGCCATCTGAAAACAGCCAGATCCTTCTCCCCGTGAGGACTGTGAGTTCAGACAAACCTTAGGGAGCGTGCAGGAGGAGGCGAGCACTAAGGAGGCAAGGGCAGAGAATGAGCAGAATGGTAGCGCTGCAGTGGGGGTGGAGAGGGGTTTAGTTGTCTTTTTGGGGGGAGTATTCAAGAGACTGCTTGTCCCTTTAAGCACTGGTTTGCTTGTTTGCATTGATTGTCTGTGCTCATGAGGCCAGAGCACAGCCAAGCAGTGCTGCCAGCTCTGGAAGTTGTCCCCTTACAGCAGTTCATTTCCACCCTAACAGCGTTGCAGAGAAGGGAAAGGGGAGAGGAGCGTTTCCTTCACTTCAGTTTGCTTTGAATTGCAGCCTACACAGGACCCCAATTTTATACTCCCTTTCACTGGTTTCAATCAAGAATACCTCTACTAAAGTCAGCAAAGCTGCAAAACGGACAAGAAGAGGGAATGGGGATCGTTCTGTTTGCTGTGGTTTGCAATAGACGCCGGTAGCTCTCCCAGGAAACCTGTCCTGGCGTGAGATGAATGTACCTTGTTTGCATGGAAACAGTGGGATCCTGAGCTCTGATGGAACTGCTCTGGGGCAGCGGGTGATAAATGAACACTGATCATTGCGCTGACTGTGGAGTCAGTGGGGTATTTATTACTGTACATCCAACAGCAATTTGGTTGGAATTTCTGGAAGACTGTACTGCCAGGGATTTTTTCTCAGTGACAAAATGGAAAGAAAAGGTGAAAAAGGAGTGATGGCAGGGAACAAGGGAAGGCAAATCTTCTTTTCCACCCAACCCAAGTCAGAAGGCTGGAATCACAGAATCACAGAATGTTCGGGGTTGGAAGGGACCTCTGTGGGTCACCCAGTCCAACCCCCTGCCGAAGCAGGGTCACCTACAGC